TTTCTTCATCATTATCATCACAACCATCAACATCATCACCATCAACATTATCATCCTTACAACCCTTATCCTAATCACTACCTGGTATTTTCATCATCTGTAGCAGCATATTATTAATCAAAATCCTGACCACCATTTGTCAAAAAAAGTTTCTTCTTCAGTAAAACCATTATCATCATCATCATCATTACCACCATCAATGGCGACATCATCATCAGTACTACTTTTTCTACTATTACTATTATTGCTCTACTGCTAATACTACTTCCTCTGCTGCTGCTACTACTACTACTGTTACTACTACTACTACTACTACTACTACTACTACAACAACTACTATAACTACTACTACTTCTACTACTAATACTGCTACTAGTACTATTACTACTAAGTAGCTGTCATTGTTAGCGTTATAAAGATTACTAAAAACCATCATCATCAATCACGGTTATATTATTGATTTATTTGTCTGCCATCACTATCGTCGTCTTCATCATCATCATCATCTTTTTCATAATTATCAGTAGTAGTAGTAGTTGCACATTTATATAGCGCTTATTTCAAAAAGAAATGTTCTTGTGACTCCATCGTCACCATCATCTTTTCTCATCATCTTTCTCATCCTCATGGTCAACAACATCATCATCAACATAATCTCTATCACCATCTTAATTATCATCATCACCATCATCGTCGTCGTCTTCCTCACCATCACCATCGTTATATTTCCGTCACCATAGAAGGCGTCCGTCCCAGCGGTCGCATGATGATTCTGAACTCGACTCCAGATGATAAAAGCTGACGATGCTACGTAGCAATAATCAACATCCTCTTCGTCGCCATCTTTGCTGACGTCATGACCTTTGTTGTGATGATTACAGAGTAGAGAAATCAGAAAAAAAGTTGAAAGTAATGAGTATTTAGTGCGAGAAATGCAGCTTGGCTTTCATGAAAAATATTCTACGAGTGTATTTCCGCGTAGAATATACTTATTTTTTGATAAAAAATTTGAATAATTTAAATTAGATTAAAATTATTTAAAATAAAATTATTTAAATTGTGATAAAATAATCTGAAAGTCTTTTTTGTGTTTAGTGTTTTCGTGCGTTTTTCAATTTTTTTGGCGCCAAATAGCAAAACAAGCACGTGCTCGTCTTTATTAAGGGAAAACAAATTCTTATAAATTATATATCTCCTGGAAAAGCTTTCAACGCATTTTTTCTAAATTTTATTAAAGTTGCTCAAATTCAACTTATACATTTAAATTATTCATTTGTTGTTTTTAACGTTGAAATTGTTTCACAACTAAATATTCAGGAAAAAAAACAGAGCAGTAACAATGATGATAATTAATCGCTTCAAAAGCAGAGCCGCCCTGACGCTAATAGCATTATTCGTCGTTCGATTCTTATCGATTCTGTCGGTAATCGAATTTGACGAGATGCAGCTGACGCGGGACGTTCGATACAAGGCCGGGAAGGATGACTTGGCGTACATACGGAGAGAATCAATATCTCCGAAGTTCGGTAAGTGCTGGCTGGACGCTCTCAACAACCTGCAGACCGGATGCGACCTGATGGATGAAGATGAATTGCATCGTATGACCTTCTCGTTCGCAAACTGTTTCCTACTAAAAACCGGTAGGCAGTCGGAGAAATGCGAGTCTGACGAGAGTATCGATACTTGCACAGGCCGTTTCAACTCCGAATCGTACGCCGTCTACACAAAATTTTTTACGCACACACAAAACGTCTGCTTCTTTCTGCAGGCTCAAAAGTGGCAAGCCTCAACCAGACAGACGATCAACAAACTGGCCGACACGTCATCCGTGGTAGCCAACCAACTGGAGAGCTCTAACGAGCTGCAAAAGGAAATCCTGAAAAAACAATTAGATTCGATCCGAATACAGGAGGAGCTGTTGGATAGTGGAACATCCCTGAAGAAGACTTTGGAAGAATCGAAAGTGGGAATCGAAGGAATGGTGAATGATTTCATGCTGTCATCCACGGAGCAGAGGAATTACATATTTGATATCTTTGATAAAGTAAGGTTGGTCGGTTGAATTTCTTCACACGATAATGTTTCATGATGAATCGGATTGAATACAATTCACGATTACAAAAAATTGACTACAAACAAACAGATGCATAAAAAACACAAACATACAAGCACACACACACTTACAAACAAACACACTCCACGCACACAAACAAAGACACAAACACGCACACACCAACGCAAACACCAACACACAAACAGCTCTCTGCAATCATTAGTAATAGGCGAAATGTCCGGCTGCCTATCTTTAATTTTTTACTTGACGTCAATCATGACGTCATATCTGCTGACGTCAGCCAAGCAAACGTCATCGGCGAGATTTCCAATCTTCATCGTCATGTCAGTTAATTTTGCCATTGAGAGGATCCTCTTCACAATGATCAGAAGAGATGCTGATGATCGTGTTGCTGGCGCTTCTGCTGTTGAGGGAATATATAACTTTAGTGAGGTCTGTAATGATGATGAAGGTGATAGTGTTTTATCATCTTTATATCACATATAATCATCTTTTACATCACCACCACCACACACCTAACCAACATTTTCACCATTTCAAATCGCCCTTATCACCCCCACCCATCCATCCATCACGTCACATCCTTCCCGGGTTCAAACGCACAGCTGGATTTTTACAGATGTAGAAATAATTCGAGACTGTTGTTCGCCGCGGTGTCTCTTGTGATCTTGCTCTGCTGTGCCTTCAGGTACAAGGATTACATTGCTATTAACAATAATCTACTGAACGAACTGAAGAGACAAACTGAAGAGATTAGGACTATACTGCTCGGTTGTCTTCATCTATTTGTTTGGATAGATGTATAAATTTATATAGCAATCGTATGTTATTAAGCTGTATTTGTGTTCCTATTGTTGTTGTTGTTTGTGTTGTTGTTGTTGTTGTAGTTGTTGTTGCTGTAGTTGTTGTTAAACCTAAAAGAAATGACTCATTGCGTCCAACAGATCAACCAGCGTCACCATCACCATTATCCTCATCGCCGCCATCATCATCTTCCTCTTCTTCATCACCATCATCTTCAAATGATGTGACGTACAATCCTCCTGATAATGATGACGACACATCGTCTTTATGGTCTTCCAGAACATTGCGAGAACTGAAAGATGACGTCAAATTTCTACAGCTGTCAACGCCTTATAAGGAAATGATGGTATCGCTATCGGATACCGGCGATGTCACAAATACCGGTATGAATCGATAGCTCTTATTTTTTTTATTATTATTACTATTTGTTGTTGTTATTGTTATTATTGTAGTTGACATTTTGTTATTTTTTCATAGAGAATTCTTACCACTCTCAGATAACTGAATCCGCCAAAGTTAGCAAAAATTATTATTATTATTGTTATTATTATTATTGTTGTAATTTTGTTATTGTTATTATTCCATACAGAGATACAACCTAAGGAAGAGAAACATGGAATGCAAGTTCATTGACGACGGATCGCTGAGCGAAAGTCCGAAAGAATTTTTCCAAAAGATGAAAGCCTGCAAGAGTGTCTGTCTAAAATAGGAAATTAGGAAGTTGTAATTATTGTTCTCTGTTGATGCACCTGAAAAAATTTACATATCTTTGTTTCTATGGCAACCAAGCAAGCCGTGTGTTTGTGATTCATATAAATGTTTCAATATTAAAATTAAAATAACAGTTCCGACATTTTTAAAATGAATTTTATTGAGTTAATTTGACATTTAAGAATGAATTTGTGCAGTTTAAATCGGATTACTGAACAGTGTTTAATTATAAAAAATATAATGGCGCCTTCATTCGGTCCGTGTGCTATGGAGATCATGGTGAATACGCCGACAAACAAACTCCTAATCACTAAATTAGGAAAATTTATATTAGGTAGTGTTGATGTTGAACACCTGGTATTAAAAATTATAATTAGATCAGGGCTGAAACATGAATGTGTTTATGGTGATGGTAGTAAATCGTTTGTCATACTGCTGCATAGTTTGCTGTCTAAAATAACTTGTCTTGTTCCTAAGATATCAAAGAATGCTTCATATTCAAGAGTCTGCGTGTTAAAATGTTTAAAAACATTTCAATCTATGATTTTTGACAAGATATTATGTGTTAAAATATTTAAATTATCATTGAAGTTCAGCAATACAAATTCGAAAAACCTTGAAAAGATAATAAAATCTCTTGTCTACACAAACTTAATCGTACAAAATTCTGAAAAAATTTCTCGTCATCTTAGTGATATATTATACAAACTGATAACTTACAACAGTTCTCATGCAGATTTGTGTCGGATTAAACAGTCGGTATCGAGTTTGTTACCCGATTTTGAAAATATTTGCATAGAATCGGTCGGTTCTCCGACCGAGTTTAGTAGGATTGAGAATAAAATAATATTATCGAGGAATTTTGTAACTTACCATACGACGATGGAAAGCGGTGCAAACAATATAAATTCGAAGTTTATAATTTTATACAACGATGATGAGTCTGAAAAGAGAAGGGCAAAATTAGATGTCGAAATTGAAAACACAACATCGGCGTTAGCTCTACTGAATTTGAAATTTAAAAGATGGCAACGAATAACTGAACAGTTATCGAGCAATAATATAAAGTTAGTGATCTGTAACTTCAAAATCACTGATGATATCGCCGCCACGTTCAACCAGCATTGTATTTCATCCATACAATGTCTTTCTGACGCTGAAACCAAAAGATTAATTCGTTCTTTTGACATCATAGCACTGTCAGATTTCTCCACCTTTTCACACAAAACCTTTGCTGAAGAATGTAAAGCTAACGAAAACAGTGTACCAAAATGTTATTTAGCGAAAGTGTTAACTTTCGGCCGGATTCGAATTAATGACGATATATTTGCATATCTGGAACCGATACCCCAAAACAAAGTAAACGAGTATACCGAACCGACAGCAAACTCGTTCCCATGTCAACTAATCGTTACAGGTTATTCGCTAGAGCAATGCCAACACTTGATCTACCAGCTAGAGAGATGCGTCAAACAGATCGGTCACTTGATTTGCACATCTCTCGTGAGGGGCAGTGAAAAAACGATTTGGAAAAAAGACAAGGGTGAAAATATCGATATTTATACTGACAAGCCGATATCAAAAACACACAATAACGACGGCAAAATCATTTTAGAAGATAATAACATTAATAACTTTGATTATTTTCATCCCAAATCACAGAAATCTCTAAAGCACGCAGCTGTGTACTTGCCAGCAAGCGGAACATTTGAATTTTTATCATCCGCACTCTTAACAGACGTCATTCAAACCATTAAATCAGACAGAAATTCGGAATTTTCAAAAAACTTCACAGAACTTGACGTAAAATTCATAGAAATATTCAACGAGGCCCTTTTGAGTGTACCCCAGACATTAATAACAAACTCATATGCCAGTAAATTTGAAAGGGGTAAATTAAGTTCCGTGGCACAAATCCTAAAAAATATTAAAGAATCGACAGAAAAGCTGGATGTGGTAGTAGATGGTGGATATTTAGATGATGGTGACGGTAATAGAGACAGTGATGACGACCTAAATGATGACGATGAAGAGGATGGTCGTAGAAGCCATCACAAGTTGATGACTGTCGATGTAAGAACCGGTCAAATGAACTTAACCAGACATCATCGTAACTTTCAACGCGAAATCAAAGGTGATGACGACAGTAATAACAACAACGGAGATGATTATGACGAGTTTGCAGGTATAGAGCCTTTGAAATGTAAATTAACACTTATTGGAGATGTGCTAAATATTATCGAATCGATATTAAGAATCGAATGTATCGTACCGGTAAGAAAAATAAATTGAGAATCCGAAATTATATCAACAAAATCTACGCCAAAATGTTGGCAATAATAAGATATATGTCATCAAACAAACGATGATGATTGATAGCGAGTACAACAACCAAAACAAACTGACGGCGATATCATGATATAGTATCAGTAAACGATGAAGATAACGCGCACATCATCAATGACATCATTAAAAACTTAAATTACGCAATTGTTAAAAGTTGATGTTTCGAGAAATCTACCAAAAACAAAGAAGCTTTATTCTTTTTTTATTACTTTTTGACAATAATAAAGATATCCATTGATAAATATTGTATATATGTTTGTGTGTGTGTAATGTATGTGTGTGTGAGTGTGTGTGGTGCGTGTATTCACGACAAAAAGAAACACAATTGGTTGTAAAATACTTAAGTATGGATAATCTATTAGAAAGAATCGATTAATCATTTTGACGTAGATTCGTCTGATATAAGAAAAATATCAATGTCATGTAGATACGAAAAATATTTATATATGTACGTAGTTATGGGTGCAAAATGCGTACAAAAAATGTATATGTACACATATATGTACACACACACACGCGCGCACACACAGCAGCAGTAACATAGGCAGAGTACTTCATTGTTAGTAATACTAATGTGTCAATGATGTAGAATCAAGTTTAGAAAATCCAGAGTAAAATAAATCTATAGTCTTTAAAAAAACAACAATAAAGACAACAATTATAATGTTAATGAAAAATAACAATATAATTTAATAATAATTATACGACTAATCATAATTAACAAGAAATACAAATATTATTACATCTGCAAAAAAATCTGCAAAAAATAAAATCGACAATGTTTGTAAGTCGGACTGTATTTTAAAATTCTCTCTCTCTCTCTCTCTCAAAGTAAAAGAGAGAGAAGGAGAAGATATATATACATATATATAGATATTCGTCCATGTGTCTGAAATAGAGGAAGAAAGAGAAAGAAGAAGGAGAATTACTTCTACAATCAATAATAATAATAATAATTATTATTATTATAATAAATACACTCCTTAGTAGTTCTCGGATGATGGTAACTCATGGAACATAAAAGGTATTAATTGAAGAATTTTCAGAAAGAGCGATCAAAGATTGTTGCAGTTGTCGTGATAAAATTACAAGCAACATGAAATTGTCCTTGGAAAGCAAAATATAATAAACAAATTACATTAGAGTTACGTAAATGAAATGATAAGAATGGAAAGCTGGTGGCAGTTGGATTCAAGCGAACTTAACGATAATAATTTTTGACATTTCTGTTATTATTTTTATTATTAGTTATTTATTATTATTATTATTTATGCCATTAAAACTACAATCGTAAGTAAGGAAACAAAAAAGCACACAAACAATATAAGCAAATGCTGGAAGATACTCACATCTAGTGAAAATTAAAAATTGTAATTCAAGATAGAAGAAGGAAAACACATCACATACAAATAACATCACACCAAACACATTTACCTTCGTGTACATATAAAATAAACATTTTTATACAAATAAGCATACCCAGACACACACACATACACACAAACATATACACATATGTGTATTATATATATATATGTATGTATATATATACAAAATTGGTATAGCGGTAAATTGTTGGTGAGCAATGCAAAAGGCTGCATGTTCAATACATGATGAATTCGCCGAAACCAACCTAATGAAATTATGTACAGAAAATATAGACGATATATATATATATATATATATATATATATATATATATATATATATATATATATATATGTTGGTAATAGACCATAATTTTTACAATATTCTATAAATTCTACCGAATGTTTGGCGTTAATATGTTTGTAGTTCGTTTTTTCGATTTTTCTCACTAAAGTTTTTCTCAAAATTTTCTCACA